AAAAAAAAAAAAAAAACTCCAGTGAAAATGATGTGCACTCAAGCAGCATTCAATTACTATCTCTTGTTAATTCTGGCCTCCATTTTCATTGTCTGCTCCACAGGTATATTATTACTACTGTTGTTTTTGTTAATTAGTGAATTATTTTGTGCAACTTATTTAATTTTCATTGCAGTTTATGGCGAATTGAAAATTGGAGAAAGATATTATTTGTTAGGTCAATTAGCACCTGGCAGTCCCGGGATAGTGACGGTCCCGTCGGGCACGCCGCCGGCAAGCACGAGCACGAGCAACCCAGCTCGGTGGTGCGTGGCCAAGAGCGGAGTGGGGCAGACGGCGCTGCAGGCTGCACTGGACTACGCGTGCGGGCAAGGCAGGGCGGACTGCGGGCCAATCCAGCCCAGCGGGACTTGCTTTAGCCCTAATACACTGCAGAATCACGCCTCATATGCTTTCAATAGCTACTATCAAAAGAGTTCCGGCCAGGGCTCCTCGGCCTGTGATTTCTCCGGTGCAGCCACATTCACCACTACTAATCCAAGTAAGCGTAAATTTAACGAAAATAAGTTCCTTATTTTTTTTTTTCTTTAAGGAAAAAAATTCCCATTTTGTATTGTATTAATTTAATTTATATTTTCACAATCTTGATGAGCTTGGTACTAGTTTAAGATATTAATATAAAAAATTGGTGGGTTGTTTATGCATATTCTGATCTGGTATCTATCTGTGACATACACACACTACTACACAGGCACTGGTTCTTGCAATTATCCCACATCGTCATCACCAACTACTACTACACCTTCTACAACGCAATTTCCACCACCATATTTACCGGGGTAAACAAAATCCATAATCCTCTCTCTCTCTCTCTCTCTCTCTCTCTCTCTCTCTCTCTCTCCCTTTGTTTTTCAAAGTTTTTCATCTCATTATAGGGGGTGTCTATATGTACACCCCCTCAAGTGTAAAAAAGGGGTGTACATATAACACTTTTCTTTGTGTAATTTATTAAAAGGGGGTGTACATATAGCATTGCCCTCATTATATTACATTATTTATGCAGGTTGGCTACACCACCAACCATCCTAAACGGCACCAACCCTTCTTTGGGAGGCTTAGGTGACAGCCCACTGACCGACGACAGCTCTTCACTTTCCATCTTCACCAGACTCCACCACCACCTGTTTCTCGCCTGCATTAATCTTTTCCTCATTAGGCTTCCACTTTTCGATATCTAAACACAATCGTTCAAATACATGCCAACCGGCACTACTGTTGTTGTATCCACACGAGAGTACGTGTGTTAAGAACATGTTATTCGAATCCTCTGTCAGTTAGATATTATAGTTAGGAGAGGCAGATTGGTGATATAATATTCCATCAACTATAAATTAGCTTTCTGAGGCAGTGGCTAACTGTGACCGCAATGCAATTATTGAGTAAATTTAGCAGATTTTTCCATTTTCTGTGTTACCTTTCCAACTACCTCCTCTCCATCTCATAATATGGATAGGGCCATGCGTGGTAGTTACTATCTGCCCTACCGCCACAGCTACTTTCGAGTCCAAAAACGTCAACAGTATAGGAGGAATTAAATGAAATACAGGGAAAAGGGTTGTGGTACTGGATTTCACAGCACACACCACAATACATAGAACCAAATTCCGATCATCAATGATTTTTTATGGTACAACTACAAATTATTAATAGCCCTACAATTACGAAATAAAGTCTACAAACGGAATAGGTCGTACCTACTCTTCTCCTACAAACGGAATACCTGGTCTACCACCCATCTTTAATCTAAATATACAATGGTGCATCGAATAATCTACATACCATCACCGCTTGGAGAACATGACCAAGATCAGCATTGATACCGATATCACAACCTTGAAACCTGATGCATCCCAAAAGTTCTGCTTATCGCTGTTCTCACACACACTAGGCTCCGCATGTTGTTTGCTAACCAACTGATCTCTTAGCTCTTTCAGAGCTTTGTCCCTACGCTCTCCCATCTGCACAATACACACATACAAACTCATTTACCTATTCACACATTCGTGTTATGCATAACGACATTTAGACAGAACATTACTCTTTGGAGTTTACGAGTCTGGGCTCGTGCTTCTTGCAGACAAAACTCCAACTTCAAAACTTTCTTCTTCAGCTCTTGATCCACCCTACGCTGCTTCTCCAGCTGGCACACACACACACACACACACGGTTCATTTCTTACAACTATATGGATATTTACAACAAGTAATAAGCATAGTATTTCTACAGAGTCAAACCTGAGATTCCAGCTCTTTAGTTTTGAGCTTCCAGTGGGTGGACATGATCCTAATCTCATCCCTCAGCTTAGCTATTTCTTCATCTTTTACCGTCAAAAGCTTATTCATATTTTCTAAATTCTTGGGTGACACCTCATCTAAAATCTTGCGGAGTTCGCAATCTTTGTTTACACCGGCCTTTGCTAGTGACTGCATGATCTCATGTTCAACTCTAGAGACTTCGTCTTTTAGCTGCATTTGGGAAAATTCACGGGCCCGAAGGTCCTTCTGTAGAAGATCCAGTTGCTCTGCCAATATATTCACGCGAGCCTCGTGCTCTTTGATTGAGCAGTTTTTCTCCTCTAATTCTTTCGCCAGTACCGAACACTGCAAATGTGCTGATTGAGCAGACACTGCAGATGCATCCGCAGTAGCTCGAGTATTTGTGAGTTGGACTCTCAAATCATCCAATTCTTTGGCATACTACAAACAAAAATGTTGACCCTAAGGGTTCAGGATTAAGGACAGAATATGTACGGTTACATAGAAAAAAAAATAAAAAAAAAATAGTGAGTCTCACTAAAAAAGAATGAATTATCTCAAACAATATCAGAGAACTCTCATAATTACTGCAATTAGTGCCTTGATGATATGTGTGACCGCCATAGTCTTAAATGTTGATCTTAAGGTCCAAATACAATTGCAATTATATATATGGAACAGTTTTTCTATGGAACCATTGGATGACACGACTCAAGGAGCCATCACACTTACTCACAACTAGTGTAGTGACACGGTCCTACAATAAATACACTTTGGACAGGTGGAGAAATCTTGATAAATGGAATTAGAGTTGTTAACAATAGACACCCACCTAGGGGTGGGCACGGTTCGGTTAACCGAACTTTTTGAGGTATTTGCTAACCGAACCGAATCGAGCAAATATTCGAACTCGCTACCCGAAACCGAACCGAAAATCTCGGTTAACCGAATTTTCGGTTAACCGAAAAAATCCTACTATTCGCGAATTAACCGAACCGAACCGAACCGAACGAACCTAACACAAATCTGTTTGTTCGCAAATAATAAACCGAACCGAACCGAAAACATTAATATAAATATAATATATAATATATAATATATATTTTAATAAAATATATATATTTTAATAAAATATATATATTTTATAATATATAATATAATATATATTTTAATAAAATATATATTTTATAATATATAATATATAATATAATATATATTTTATAAATTTTAATATAATATACGGTTCGGTTCGGTTAACCGGGATAAAAAAATCTTAAAAACCGTAACCGAACCGAACCGAGCAAATACTTCATTTGAGGTATTTGTAACCGAACCGAGTCCCCCGGTTAACCGAAAATTCGGTTCGATTTCGATTCGGATCTACGATTCAGCGGTTCGGTTCGAATTTTTTGCCCAGCCCTACACCCACCCAAGCTGCAGCAATAGGGCGCATTGTCAAGAAATTCTAATTACAATTTACTCTAACTTCAGTCACACAGTATTGAAATTTGGAATTCATTTAGGGAGATAACTATTACCTACAATCATACATTTTATCCTCCCCTTAATTTAAGGGGATTGATTCCCCCACTCATGTATAATGAACAAGAGATCCTAAGTGCAAATAGATCAATTATAAATTAAAAAAAAAAATATTATATCTAATCTAATTAACAAGGGGTGGGTAACACAAGTTTTGTGAGACAACAAAATCGCTAGGCGAGTCGACGTTATACTTATTTAACAAAGATACATTTATGTTACGAAATGTCGTACTTATATTCACGTTGTTTATGAGTGTGAAATTTCAATTCTAAAAAAGATAACACATGTCTATTGAAAAAGTATGGCCGCTGTTAAAGATAGTAGGAGGGAAGGTATATGTTTTCAAAATTTGAATGAGGCATTAATTGGAGAGGAAAACAGCAATTCAAACAATAAAAAAAATAAAATAAAATAAAATAAAATCAAGATTCCTCTTTTTGGCCAGGCACATGCTGATTATAAATGAGACAAGTTCCTAGAACCATTCAAATCAGTATTTTTCTAATAAGAGGCAATCAACAAACATATTATCACAAGTTTGAAAATTAGTCCAAAATCCCATCCCACATATAGAACAAACAAGAAAAGCCAAATAAAAGAACAAAAATCAAGCACCAGAAGGGCCAATAAAAGTCCAGTGTGTTTAAAAGTTACAAACGAGGGAAAAACGGGTGCGGTCGCACGCAGATAAAGCATACCAACACAGAAAAAACCCATATGAAGCTCAAGTGGGTTCCATCCCAAAACCAATTGGACCAATTGGTGGAAGGAGGAGTAGCTCGTTAGACACAAGTGAATATTCTAATAAAAGTGAATATAATTCTAAACAGCAATCCAAAGACTAAAAACAAAATTTAGATAAAATCAACTGAGTTAAACATAATCATACAGTACAGTACCATGGCAGAAGCAGAAGTTGAAGCCTCCAGCTGCACAGTTCTTTCATCTAAATCCTTCTCCAATCTACTGACTTCAATTTCCAAACTCTTCACTCTGTTTTCAGCTTCCTGGAAAAAATCAAATCAAAAAAGGAAAAAATAAGACAAAAAAAAAACAAAAAAAACAAATGCCAAACAACTCACCCACAATCATAAATCCAAATATTTTTATTTTATTTTTCATATTATTTTTTAATATTATAGTTGAGGCCTGAGGGGGCAATACTAAATCACATATATGCATATATAGAACAAAAGGAGAAACAGTAATTTTTTTTTTCAAAAATCAAATATATCAAACGGTCCGAAGTCAATCAATTGCATACCTGTCTTGTTAGGGTTTCTCTGGCGAAGAAGTTTTCCTGAGAAGCGAGGCGGCCGCGAACCTCCTTGAGCTCCGCCGCCAGAGACACCACGTTCCGCCGGAAGTTCTGCTTCTTCTCCGTCAGATCCTTAAGCAACGGATCCACCGTGACCGACGACGATGACGCCGTCGGCTTCTCCTGTACCGACATCACTGTAAAACGACGACGACGATGACGACGACGAAGCTTGAGGCTCACTCGTTTTTAATTGAATCAATGAAAAGTGAAACCATAAAAGAGGAATCTATTTCAAAAACTCCTATAATTAATTTGTTCCCCTCTCTCTTTGCAGTGAATGTGAAGCTAATAAATCAAACCCTCCATAGCCAATCTGCATGTGAACAAGCTGCCTTCAGCATTTAATACTTGTTAATTAATTATTCAATTAATTGACGATTTTTCAGCAACTTCGACACGACTCACGCGCAATTAAATATTGCGGTGGAGAGAGAGAGAGAGATGAAGAAGACGTTGACAGGATAAGGGCCACATTTCAAACTGATGATTAAATAACAATTCAACTGAAATTCAGGGATGACT